ATAGGTGAATGGAGAGAGAACAAGAACCAGTCTCCATTCATGAACTGGAGACAAGGATTACAAACTACACCTCAGCTTCAAGGTGAAGCCACAATGTGTAAAGAGTTTAAATCAACACTTGAAGATTCAGCTTGGCAGAATCCGCACCTCGAGTCCCAGTGATTTCAAGTATCTAAGCTACATCTACTTAAGATCTCCACTTGTATTAGAAAGCCAAGGGAATTGTTTCTGTTTGTGAAAGAAATAGATACATATAGCAGCATATAAAAATATATATTACAAGTCAAGTTAAAGGAGAAGCTTCTTGTACAGGATATGATAGTTTTATTTAAGAAATGGTTTAAAATATGATAAGAAGTAAAGAACCCAGAAATTAAAACCAAACCAGTTAATTAATAGTATACAATAACTCTCAGAAGACATTTATTCTGAAAACTTTTCTAAGCAGTTTACATTTTTAAAAAAGTTTCAGTGGCCAATAAGTGTTGATACTAACTGCATTATTCATACAGGAGCATTATACAAACAGAGAGAGAGATCATGATTTCAGCAGAATCCAAACATGCAAAAAATCATTTGCAGTGAAGCTTCCCCATTCCCCTGTCTTCATCACAAATAATTAACTGTCCTTTTAATTAAGACATCATTGCTCAGATATCAACTTCTCTATTAAAATACTGTGAGAGAGAGGAGGAGTACCAACATTCTGATGAATTTTGATGTATTACACAATGGTGTGAGTTGTAGTATAGGGCTTGGATGATGCACACATCACAATGTCAAGCCCAGTGCTATCCTGTTAGTTGCATCGGATTAAATACAGAGACTTGTTAGATTTCAGTGGAGTTTCTGCTGCTGTAAACATTAAAAAAACTAGAAGAGAGTTAGTCCTGGAGTAGGAATATACATTAAATCCAACATGATTTCAAAGAAAAGTCGTTGCTGATAGCACTCAGAAAACCCAGCTGATTGCTTAACAAACAATTATATTTACAGGACAATAAATGCATTCAACCAGCTATCACATAATGGCACTTTTTTATGGGCTTTAAGCTGTGTCTTTATAAAAAACTTCATTAGGCTGCCAAGATCCTTTCACATTATCCCCAACTGGAAGAGCAGCAATAAATCAGCTCATTGTTCAGGATCTTGCTCTGATCCCTTACAAGTGAAATTCTCATAAATATTTAATTTAAAAAAAAGTAAGTACTGAATCAAATTCAAGCTTTTTAGCTGTGGAAGCACCTCAGAGAATTAAGATGGTTTGGAATAAGGTGATTTTTTTAGCAAATTAGTAAAAAGCATGAAATAAATTCAAACTACAGGTGAATCAACTCACCTCTCTGTATAGAATACACCTTACTCTATCTACATCCCAATTCAAATAAATCGTATAAGGAAGAAATTTACTTCAGTTTTATGATATAATAAGCTAATCTCTTTACACTAGATTTTTGACTGATTTCAATAAGTTTTGTTAAGCTTAAAATAGACACAAACTTCCTGCACAACTTCCATAGAGCTTCTCTTATAATTTGCTCTCAGAATTATCTTAGATAAATACAGGTACATTTATCCATTCAGCCTTTTGCAGATTGTAGATGCAGACAAAGTGTACTCTGTGCCAGGTCCATATTGCCTGCACTACAGAAGCCCTGCTATTAGAGCTATGTCAGTGCAGCACTATTCTCCAGATATGTCCCTCTAGCTCTTAGCACAGTGTTAACAACATTTAGGTTAGTTTTATTTGATTAATTCTTTCATTTCCCCTCTCTGCAGCTTCATGTTCCTTTGCCAGGCTCACTGAAATGGAAAGGCTTTCTCCTGCCTTTTGATTTCTCCACCAAACCACACAGAGAAAGTAAACCTATGGGCTTTCCCTCTATAGTACTTGAATATCTGTATAGTACTTGAATATCTGTAAGTAAAAGGAAAAGGGGAAATATAGTACTTGAATATCTGTATATAGGCCTTGCCCCGGTAGGTCCCAGTTGTTCTTGATGGGCTGCAGCTGTGATGTCCTTAATTGGGTGGCAGCTGTGGCTAATGAAGATAACTGGGATAAAAGGGGGAGTGGGTTGGCCAGTCAGGGAGAGTCTGGAAGGAGTCCTGACTAAGAAGCAGTAGCAAGCAGAAGTCTGTGCTGTGAAGAACTGTCCCCAAGAAATACCACTGAGAGAAGGTATGGGACTCTAGAAATATGAATACAATATCCCTCATGTTCATCAATTTACACAGACTACGTGTTCTTTCCCATGTTTTTATTTTGTTTTGTTTTTTAGAACCCCCCCAAACCATCCTCAGTAACATTAAGAGGTGGCATACTCACTCAAACTATAATTATGTTTAATTTTTGAGCAGTCAGAAGAATTATCTTCCCCACAATGGTATTGGTAGACCTTTCTGTTAATAGAGTTTATCTTTCTTTACTTATTCATTGAAGAATTTCCCTGTTCATCTCTCTAGTGCTCACTGTACACTCCCTTAGATGTAGAAAGGAGGTTTTTGTTACTCTCATTTAAAAGAACCTTTGAGTTCTTTTAAATCTTTTTTCTTTGTTTGTTCAGTGTACTTCTCTGTATACAGTAACTAGATTTCCTTGTTTTGTTTCATTGTTCTTTACAATTCCCTGACTCCTCTTTTCAGCTGGCTGCCATATACTATTTGAATTTCAATCTTCGGATACTCCTTTTCTGTGATACCATTCCCCATCCCAGATGGCAAAAAAAAATATGTTCATTTGCAATAACTTTGTTGCTTTATTTGTCTTTTTCTTATCTTCACAAACTTTCTAGCACCATCCTCTTTTTTCAGAGTGAAATAGAACCAGCAATACTATTCTAACCTAACTTCCAAGGTCTTCTCTAGATTTCCCATCACAAAAAAGATCATAAATCTTCTTAGCCAACAAAAACACAGTCTTTTAACTTTTCTGGGGTCTTGTTTAAAGAGTGTGCCATGATCAGATTTTCCCTTTTTCCTCCCCCTCTACAGAGGTTTCATTCTGCCTCTCCTCTTTGTCATTCATAAGTCAAATATTAGTGTAAGATATGGCTTGAGAGGGTGTGCAGGAACCACGAGGAGCTGCTCACAGTATGCAGGAGGGATTCTGGAGGACATTCGGGAAGGTGACTGCATTCTCGTTTAACACAGGCAGCTAACCAGCAATTCTAAGTGTTAAAAGGGGTCATGGCACATGAGTAATGGACATCTGATCCCCAGTCACAGGACATACCAAGTGTAAACAGGGGATTCTGACATGGTAAAGGGGAATAAATCTAAACAGAGGAAGCGTATATTCATTTACTGGATGGAATCCCACAGAATCTCAGTAAGTAATGGCAGCCCATGTTAACATGAAAATTTAAACCAGATAAAATTTTAAAAGCAGAACCCTGAAAGGAAGGCCTGGATAAGAAAAGCTGAATGCTTCCATAATAAATGTGCAAAACCCAAGGGAGGCACATATAAACTACCTAAAAGGGGCTTCCTAGAGGGGGTCCTGCGGGAGATGAAGGAACTCTACTAAATTAAGAGGCAGAACCTTACCTTGCTCACTTCAGGTCTTGCCGCAAAGCACTGTGTAAACACCAGACGTAGGCAGTTGTAGCTTCTTATTCCTTTGCGAATTGAGAATTCTGTTGCTCTTGCTCTACTTTGGGAGAACAGTTACCAGCAAAAACAGTTTATCAAGCACATTTCCCCCTGACCCTGCAGTCTGAACCTTAGCCAGCCTGCAGTGTCCCAGGCAGTTCCCAGCAGGATGGTGTATAACAGGGACTGTATGAATGGACAGCAAGATGAGCTAGCCCTGGCTGCTTGCAGAAGAGTTCCCCTGCACAGATAAAAGATCATTTACTATGCACTTTCAGGAAAAGAGGGCAAAATCTAAACTACCTTATCCATTAACATAGAGAAGCTTGCAATAACTTGCCATGACAAGAAGCTATTACCTCCTCATCTTTTTCTAAAATCATCACTGATTTTGGTCCCCCTAGTTGCCCGGCAATGGTAGGACATCAGGAAAACTAGGAGTATTGACTGGAAACCATTGCCTGACATTTCCTCCATTCAGATGAGCTATTCTTTCCTTCTGCTATCTGGTTAAATCAGAAAGCCTTATACCAAAAACACTCTTGCACATGGTGTGGGCCATTTTGAAACCCTGTACAATAGAAAAAATGAAGAGAACAGGACAAATAATGGAAAACAAACATTTCCATGAATCCAGCCTCTCATTTTGATTCTGGTTTTTTGTTCGCTTTTTCACACCCCTTCACATGTATGAGTTTGCATAAATGCTGAGAATAAGGGTCCATACAAATACTCATTCATATGCAAACAAGGGTATTCACTCTCGTTCCAGAAGTGTTTGCCCTCTGTTTACAAGGCTTCAGTAGCAAAATCACACAGCAGAAAAATATCATGAATTCCAGCTGGTCAGTGATATCCTACCAATAATGCTCACTAGCCCAGAGACAATAAAAACAAGCAAACAAAAACACAATGATGTTCACAGTGCCTTGATACAACTAGGTAGTGAGAATAAATATACACAAATCAGACTCTGCACACACCACGCTTATAAAAATACTGCATTTCCTGATAAGCTGGCTGCTTCATAAAGACAGAGTCACATCTACCACAGTGGAGAATGCCTTGACAGCTAGCTCTGCTTTCTGCTGCCACACAGGCAGGCAGATTTGGGCTTCAGGGTTTTCTCATTTGTTTCATTATGATGCTCAAGAGTCCAGAAAGAAATGGGAAACTCCCTAAGTGATGGTTGGGATGCTCACTTGGGAATGGAAGCAGCAGCATTAAAGTCACAGGTATCAATGTCAATAAAACAAGTATTCAAACTCATTTTTATATGCTCCTGATAAATCAGCTCACTGATCTCTTCTGTGGCTGATAACTCTCTGTCACACTCAGCTACTGAAACTGATCCACTTCTTCCCTCCCACTCCCCCTTTGGCCAGAGGTGAATTGAGCCCACTTACCCACAGTGTTTAGGATCAGCTCCTCTTCCAAACCAGTCTCCTGGCTTTCTGATGGATGTTGGGCATTGTTCCTTATTTCTGAAGTGAGTACATACACGGGGTTATGAGACACACAGGGACCTCATCCCTCCTTCCTCTGTTGCTCAGATCACCTGCTCTGGGAGGTATTGGTTTTGGGATGTATCAGCACTTTCTGACAGTAGTTTTGGTAAAAAAAACCCCATTTTGTCTTACCATCCACATTCTTCAAGAGCAAAAGGCCAAATCTGAAGTATGAGCTATTCAACCCCCACAAAATGAGAGGCTTTAAGTACAAAATGTTAATTGTTATGGATATTAATCATAAACTGTGAAGGCAAAGCATTGTTCAAGGACTTTTTACCAGTTAATTCTTTGCTTGTAATAATTCTACAAGTGATTTCAGATGTGCCCTTCCTGCTTTCACTTTCATCCTTGAAAGTGAAAGTGAACATTGAAGAATGTTCATAGAAAAGTAGTTTTATTAGATAACAGGCAATTTCTGAACCATCTTAAACTTATTTTCAAAGGAACAAAGAAATGCTGGATCATATCTTGGCATCATTTATGACAGTGCAAACACATTGACACAGATTTTGCTATCAAAATTTATATTTTGCATCTGTTGCCTACAAAAAAAAAAGGGGGGGGAAAGAAAGAAAAAGAAAGCAACAATAAGATCAAAATTACAGTTAAGTTTTTAAAAATCTCTTTACAAGAAAGGCTCCATTTAGGAATCAGGAGTTCACACCTGGAATGGTGACCAGGCTGCACCTGCACCTCTCAGGAGCTCTGGCAGCCATGAGGCTGCTCCTCCACTGGTGTCAGAGTGCCAGGAAAACCCAACACACCTGAAAATAGCTCAGGGCATGATTGCAATTTATAACAAAAATGATAGGACACACATTTTCACAGGGACAAACCAATGGTCAATCTAACTAAGAAGTTAGATTGTTTAAATCTAACAAAGCAAAACCATGTTGGTAACACATCTCAGTTCCATCTGAGTGAGATGGAACTCACTCAACTTTCTTCATAAAGTTGAGTGAGTTCCTTAGATCAAAACAACAGTTTTAGGGTTTTAAAAATTAACTATTGCTTACTTTCCCCACAAGACACTCTGCTCACTGGAAGCATGTTTGGTTAAAGTACACCATTTACTCCCAGTTTTTTTCCTCATTTTCAACAGATTTGCAAGAGGCTATGGCAAGGAGCAGGAAACACACAACTCTTCTGTTCTGGGGCGCATTTTGAGAGAGACTTGTTTTTCAGTCTCTTAATTTACAGTTTGTATTTGTAAAGAGTATAAGTTGCGTGAGGAAAGCAATTGATTTACAGAACAGACTACATGCAGCACATACAAACTGACTCCTCTTATCAAATAGGAAAGACTTTCTCAATGCAACAGCTTGGTGCAGAAGAGCATGCTGAGCTGAAAAGCAAATACAGCTATCTGATTAATTGATTCTGACCTCATAAATATTGTACTTTGGGGGCTCTAATGGAACTTCCTGAGGGTAAATTGCATGGTTCACCTCATTCATTTATATCTCTGGCTGACAGATGTACATTATGAAATGTCACTGAATATGCTGGCAATAAATGAGGTATAACATTAGCATCTTGGTTCTGTTTTCCTGAAGGAACACTTTTGTTAAATGAATCCCACACCAGTAAAAATATTATTCTCCACTATGTACACTTCTTTCTATTTTAATCAGGCTTGCAGAAATATATACAGGCCTTCCAAAAACACAGAGCCCCAGTAAACTAACAAATCAAGCTGCTCTTTTGTTGTGCATGTTTCCATTGTGAAGCTATATTGTTGGAGAATATTAGGCTGTGACAAGTATTTGATAGTGTAGTAGTTGCACTAATGTTATGGTTATTATCTTTACTACCGTGCAGTGAAACACAGTTAATTAAAATACAGTGAAGAAATTGCTCCCTTCCCCTGCCCACCCATAAATGAGATGATAAATTTGTTGTTGTAGTCAGCATATCGGGTCCCTTGACCTCTCTGCATGTATTTAGGCATTATTCTATTTTATTTCATTTTTTATTTCGTTGCCATTTGAGACTGATAAAACTGCGCATAAAGGGCTTTGGGAATAATGGCAAATAACCATGACATGTGCAGCTTAATGAAATTATATACTGTGGTGCATCGCAATAAAATTCATAGGAATATGTGCCCCACTACTGTAAGGCTTGCAAATTCCAATAAACCATTAATCCTTGCCATGAGCAGGCCATGACGCCAAAGGTAACTTTGCCAAGGAATGGGGAGAGGGGAGGGAGGCCGAGGGAAGGAGAACAGAGCTACTGGCGAGTGTGGTAGTTAGAGGAAATGAACCAACCCTTTGGGATTAAACCTACTTCCAGCTATCCCCTTTCCTCCCATAGTTAAGGGATAATTGTTATAAAGGACAGCACTGGAAAAACATGTAATTTGTCTCTCACTAGTCACCGACAGCTATTGCAGGCTTAAAAGCCCAAGTGAGTCTGACAGATATTTCATCTTGTAGTGCTATCTTCAGCTTCTGAAGAGCTGCACAGTGGCTACACCTCTGCACAGAGAGCAGCAAGCCCCCACTTGTACTTGCTTCCCAGCCACTGGCCACAGACATTTTCCCATCCAACAAATCTTTCTCAGCAAGCTCCAAACCCCTCTCTTCAGTTTTTCAGAAAGGGAGTGAAGGAGGGAGGGCAGTGGGGTTGGGAAAATTGACTATTACAGGAATTTTCTGCAAACAGAAATTGAAAATGAGTGACAGTATTTGTGCCTGCTCTGCTACTACATCTGAGCCTTTATTGATTTACTCTCTGGCACAGACTGCAGCTGAACTGTAAAGGGGCCACACCTCTGCCTTTGCATAAAACCACAGAGGTCAGCTGTCACTTCAGTACTTTTTTGACTGACTTTATGCTTCCAAAAAGGTTATGAAATGAAGAAAAATGTGTTAGGTGCAAAGAGCATCATCTAGCACTAAGAGAAGGAACACAAGGCATTGTTTTTGTAACATCACTTCTGCTGCACACTGTGAAGGGTTCTGGGGGCTGCCAGGCTCTGCAATTTGGCCCAAGGCGGCTGCAAGGGGAGAGCAGAGTCCTTGGCAGACAAGGACACCTGGGCCCCAGGAACAGGGATGCTATGAGAAACCCTCCTCCCTGCTCCAGTGTAGTTTACTTTGCTTAATTAAAGTCATGAGCCAGGCCTCATCTGAATCATCAGAATTTTTTGGTTTGGGTTTTTTTTGTTTTGCTTTTGTTTTGTTTTATTTGTAATTTAAAATATATCAGGGAGTATGAGGGGAAGCAAGTTGTAAATTCTGTAACACTGCCTTCCCTGCTCAGACTTTATATTTCTCATCTCTATTATGCTAATGACTTTGTAAATCCTAGTTGCAATGTTTGCATGTTAGGATGTTTGCTAGCATATCTGTCTATTAAAACAGGAGTGGAGAGATGTTAAAGATCAGTAAATAGGATTTCTACTCCAGAAAACCTTTAGAAGGTGGATATGCTTAGATGCAGATAATTAAATACTTATACATAAAAACAAGAAAGACAAATAGGAAGTAAAATTATGGTTATATTGGATTTTTTTAACATATGGATTTCTTTCCTGTTTACATTTTTCTACCATTTAAGAATACTTGTCTCTTCTGCTTCTATCTTCTATCTCACACAACTGAGAAAAACAAAACACATAGAAAACAAAAATAAAGCAAATACAAGTGCTTTACAAGTTTCTGCCTAAATACCAACACACACACACACACCTTGACTGATAGCTAATCTGGAAAAAGCAAGGGAACTACCCCACACTGCCTCATAACAGGAGACATTATCCCATGCATAATTTCCTGGCTGATAAACCAGGGTGCAAATGACACAATATCCGGTGCCATAAACCTAAACTTGCCAAGACACTACACTGCTCAGTGGCTCCTGCTCACAGGGGGCACAGACAGGGTTTTGCCCTGCTCCAAAGTGTTGTGCACCATCAGGCTATGAATATGACACCAAACTGGACAACTATAATCCAGTCCAGCAGGGAACACTCAGTACATGCCACTAACTCTGGCTTAACCATGTTGTGGAAAGCAGATCACCAACAGCAGAGGAGCCTGCTTCAGAAATATTAACCATATCACGCTTGTACTTAGTGTACAGTGTCTAGACAGTATTGACTGCATGCATCCTCCCAGGGACAGCTCTCTGAGACCCGAAGCTGTGCTGCTATAATTAAAGCCTACAGTCTTTTGAAGTCACTTGCTTTTACACTCAGAGTTTTCCTGAGCAGCCTTGTAAGCAAGGCAGCAATATGCACTTCCCTAACATAACAGGTGGGAGATGAGGAGAGGGGGAGCCATCTTTAAACAACTGAGAGCAAATTTACCTGTTTTATAAAGCATCATGGAAGATAGAAATAATGTTCTATTCATCTACAGAGCATAATTTATTTTTCTCTTGAAATGTCCAGTATACTGGTTTATAATTTTGATCCCTAAACATCAACCACAACCTTTAACATATGTATGTATCAGTACTTTTTATTTTCACCTCACAGACCAGGTTTGCACTATACAGACAAATAGATTTTTAACTCTACAGCTTTACTTTTCTTACTAATTTGCTACTTTATTCTCACCGCAAACCCCACTTCTGTAAATGGCCCAGCCAAAACACCATTAATTTTGCCTCTAGCAGCCCACCCTGCTCTAAGGGTGTAGCAAGCCAAGGACACGTTAAGCTGTCTTAAAGCCCCAGACTTGACAGCTTCTCATTGCTTCCCTCAGAAATCAGCTGGTTGGTGTTTCAGAAAGCAAGTCAAGCCATGAAATAGTCAGGGCATATTGTGGCACAGGAACAGCCTTGTAAGCAGTATTTGTTTGGCCAGCAGTGCTTTAGGAGCTGAAGGTCACCAACAGTGTCATCCAGCTCTCAGTATTGTTGTTGGGCAGCACAGCAGACACATCATTCAAAGGCTTCCCTATTATCATGGGATATTTCTATTAAAAATAAAAAAATAAAAATAAACATTTTTTAAATGCCCAGGCTAGGCTGTTCTTTACATTTAAAAGACCTGATATGCATTGCAGTGCTGTTCCTTTTAGAGTATACCCATATTCTTCTGTTACCCATTTCTCCTTTCATGCTAAGGATCAAGAGGCACTCTGTCAAGGCATTTGCAGCATGATCTCTCTCTGCTATTTGTGATTCTAGAGCTGCCCAGATAAGGTCAGAGCAGAATAACATGCGGCCAGCTCAATGTGAATATCTATGGAGGGAAGGTCAAGGAGAGCAGAAAAGAAATGAGACTAAATACTTGCTAGAGGATGAGGAGAAAACAAAAGGAGCTCAAGAATCTAAGCTGACGGTCTTAAACACTCAGGAGTAATGCTAACAGTGGTACCCCCACAAGAGACAAAGTAGCATAAATTGGAAAGCAGTAATATGTGCAGAGCTTTGTTTAAAATTAGGGTAGGTATCCATGATGAAGAAACAGAGCCTTTCTGAGATGGTGAAGGGGTGAGCATTTGGCAGACACCAGTCAGTAGTGTACACTTCCAGTACCAGAGACTGGCTATGCAAAGCTAACTTACAGGAACACAGTAAAATTGATAAAAATCAAATTAAAAGTTTTGCATGGAAGGACAATTTATTTCCCCTCTCTGATCTTTTAATACTCCTTGAAGAAGTAAACAGTGGCATTCCTCTAAACCACTAACCTTTCTCAAATGAAACCACATTATCTAGCATCAAATTTTTTCCAAGCATAGGCCATGGTGAGGGATGGGGGGAGCTACAGCAAAAGCAAAACAACAAGCCTTGAAATAGTGTAAGACCCCTTTCTGTAGTACTGACCATGAGCTCTAGCTCTCCCAAGAGAAGCAAGTGAATTGTGTTCTAAGCATCTGGGAGCAAGTTAGCTTGGGTTTAAGCTAGCGAAGATCATATATACTGAAATACTTACCCATAATTAGGGACACCCATTTCCACTTTGTGTCATGGCCAGCAGAACTGATCTGACTGTTGTCTTTTTTCCCCTCTGGTCTAGTGCAAATGCCAACTTCTTAACTACAAGAAGATACAGAGAAAAAAAAATGTATATGTATATATATATAACCACTAAAGCATGAAACTTTGCTAACTCCTCATGAGGCTACTTATTTTCCCATTGCCTAGTTGGCAAAGGATATGTGATCCATTGTTTTTGAGTTATACAGACACACAGGCAGATAGATGGATAGATAGATGGATGGATGGATGGATGGATGTGTGTATTTACACATGTATATATATATAAAACAGACACAACAGTAGGTTTTATATATCTCTCTGCATAAATCTTCAGTGGAATATAATACCACAGAGTTTATGACAAGCTATTTTCCTGATCCGTTGTTAAGCTTACTAGCTTGAGCTCTGTCCTAGTTTGTATGCTGCCTTCCAACTCATAATCTGATGGGAAGCTTACAGAAAAGCTAAACACAGCTGGGCAGAAGCTGGGTCAGCTTTGGAAGGCAAACCAGGAATCAGCCACAAAGGAACTGCTGGCATGGACCCAAAGTCAGGAGTTTGGGTCATCTTTGGTAACAGCTTGTGAAATATCCAAGGGGATGCTAGAAGCAGGACATGGTGAAGATATTTGTTCCCAAAGCACAGAGAAAGAAAGAAGAGGACCATCATGCCCTCCATATGTGCCAAGATGGGAGAGAAGGTAGCACATCATTCACAAGGTAAGCCCAAGCACTGATGGAAATGAACTCAGTTGCTTGTTTGGAGGTGTGCATAGAGGTGCCTGAGCAAACCACCACACAAGCAGTCCACATGCTTTCTGAAGCACAAGCATAAATAGCCAAAAATGTATTGGCTCTAAGAGTAAAGAAAGAGAATGGAGAAAACTCACAAACCCTGCTCGTCTTCTCAGAAACAGGAGCCACCTTCCCATTTCAGAATAGATTCCTGTAAGCAGAAAAGTACCAAAAGAGGAAAAAGAAAAAAAAAGTCAGATCCTTCCGTTGAATTCTTCATTTCAATTTAAGTATCCTATCTGCCAGGGAATTAAAAGAAGAGAGGCAAATACTGGAGATTTGCATAAGTTACACAGAAGCAGAGATGCATGCTGGTCTTCAAAGTAGCAACCTTCAACTTGGCTTCGTTTTCCTTCCCCGCTCACTTTACTTTTTTTCCTTTAATCGCTTTTTTCCTTTCAATGATCCTTTCCCCGCCTGCCTCTCTGCAGAGTTGCACGGAAAAATGCTGCCATCCAGCGGCATTCCCAGAAAGAATTCCAGAGACAGAGTTGTGAGGGTCTGGAGAGCAAGACCCCCAATTTATCTTCCCAGAGCTGAGGAGCAGCAACGGGGGTGCAGGAGATGCAATTTTAAGACTTGCTGGGACTCTGAACTGTCAACATAATTATCTCAAATCAAAGGTACGATGATTCTGAGGATCCTGCCAAGCACATTGATTATTCATTACTGAATTCAGCTCACTTGCAGGCAAATATTTTTTCTAGCTGATGCATTTGAAAAACCCTGATTTTATTTCCCTAGAATGATCTAAAGAGAACTGTACAAAAAATTTACTAAAAATTCAAATATCTAATTTTATTAATGTAATTAGAAAGGAAAAAAATCTCCAGTTTTTAATACAAAATACTTCTTTTTCTGTCATCTAGAATTATTTTTCCAGCACTCAGAAATTACAAGTTTCTCAGACTGAAAGACATACAGTCTGCTCACGTGTTATAGAAGACTGAATTTTTTTTCCCTAGGAATATTTAATATTATTCAATAACTTACTCGAGGACAAAAGTCCGCAGTCTATGAGATATAGTTTGAGTTATATAGGTTTTCACAATCCATTAGGGCTTTGGAGACCTTTCCACCACTTTGTTAAAGCTCGAAAATATCTGCTCCATGTCAAGAAATTGTGTACAAACATGTAGTTACATAGCCAGTGTTGCTGTCTCTGGAGTGGGAAGAGCAAAACCAATCCTTTTGAACAAGCACATGCACTTGCAGTAAAGGTCAGCAATATTCAAATTTTAGGGAAAAAGGTGGTTGTTTATTTATCTTAGGGTAAAGTGATTTTGCATAACACTGCCACTCAAAACACATACGTGCAAGATGAATGCACTAAGCTGTTTAGGAAAATTTAGCACGTTTGTGAGCCTTTGTTTTGGCTGTGCCTTTAGCAGTACATGCTCATACAGCACATCCAGTTGTGTCTGCAGCTTGAGTTTTTGCTGCCTTCTTGCTCCATGAATCTCCCCAGAAATTCCAAGCTTGGCATGAACTTCACTCTGTCATTCAAGACAGGGTTTTAAACTTAAACATCTGCTTCCAGAGATAGGCGCAGCTCTCTCTCCCTGCTCTCTGTCCCCGAGGAGTGAATTTGGAACACTTTCCATGGCACTCCCAAAGGTCAGCACTCCCCAATATCCAGCACCCAACATCCTGCCCCTGTGTTGTCTCCCATGGAACAGGTGAGCCTCCCTTTTCCCCCTCCTTTGGGACACAGCAATCTTGTGGGAACCCAGGAAATTCCTCTGGCTGCCCTGGATGGCTCGAGCCCCTGCCCAGGGGGCTCAGAGACCTTGGCACAGAGCCTAAGACTCCTGTGCCTTTGATTTAGCCCTTGGAAAAAACAATTACCAACCTTACATGAAGAATTACAAGCCATGAAAGTTTAAGTAGAATGATAGTGAATTTATCATGGGGTGACAAATAGATTTTTTGGGGTTTTTAGAATGGAGGTGCAGGGACGAAGATGGAGGAATCTGGGTGCGTCCAGCCTTACTCCTTCTTCTTCTTCTTGGCCTCCATCTTCTGCTGTGATGGTGGCACTTTTAGATTGGTTTAGAGTAGAAGCTCATTGTCTAACATAGGTGATAGGTATTGGAAAGTAATTGTAAATATTGTACACGTAGTTTTTAGTGACATAAAGACATAACACCACCCCAGGGGCAGGCAGAATGCCTCTGACTGTCCGCTGAGTGGACCTCAGCAGGTCAGGAGAAAGAATTTTATAGATAAGATACAATCAACAACCTTGAGACTGAGAAATGAAGAGCTCTGACTCCTTCTTTGAGTGCCGAGCTGGGAAAAGAGACTTTCTAACTTATCTTGCGGTCACTCTGACCAGCTAGAGATCCTGAGACAATCTATTAGGAATAAAACCAGGGGGGGTTTTATTTTGGTTACAATCTATTATTTATATCCATTTTGCAAAGTCTTCTCACATGTTCAACTGTTCAGTCTCTTTACAGCCTGAGCTCCCAGCTGCCCACAGCAGCCCCAGTCCGACACTAATGAACAGCCCCACCCAAGGAAGCCAGAGGCTGACTGGATCATCCACATCATTCTCCAGTGTGAGGGGATGGAGTCAGAGTGGCTGGGTTTCTGTTAGACTGTCAGTAAAGCACCAAGTCTAGATTTCCAGGCCATTTCCAGATTCCACCTTTCATATTATACTGAAGCCCAAATACTCCACTGAACCATGGAAAAGACTTTTACCTCCGCGTGTACCCATGAAAGAAAGCTAAGATAGAAAACTGCTTGCCTCAGTGTAAATATGCATCTTGTTTTCTGCTTCATGGACTTCATTCCCAGTATAAACCATTTTCAGCAATCCCATTAAAATAAAATGGAAAGCCTGCATGTAAATTCAAGAATTTTTTTATTACTGAAGCCTAAATTTTCCATTCATGCAAAGCCTATATAAATACTTCCATTTCAAATCAACCAAATCATCCACCAAAAGGCTCATCCTTAAAAGCAACGTCAATATATCTACATATTGGACCTACAGGGACATGCTTACAATATGTGGTAAAGGAATGTGTCTTCCATACACAACAGATAATGGAAGGAAATGGGGTTAAATCCACTGCTGACCACTCCCTATGCCTGTTTGTTCAAATTGTCTCTCTACTATTTTTCCCTCAAAAATATTTTCCATCCTTGTCAACAGCTGGCTCCCTGCTGGCTGGATATTTTGCAAAATTCTTTATCACTCCTGTTTACTGTGTGTCTATTCTTTGATTAGACATGACTTTACACTTCCCAGAGGTGATGCTGTGGTATGTTTTAAAAGGATGAAGAATTATCAAAATAAGAGAAGATTGTCCTTCGGGCCTATCCAAAGCCATTAAAATCCAGCACAGTTCAAGAAAAGAGAGATTCATATTTCACAAGAGACTTTATGCCCCCTATTTTTTACACATCCCTTTACTCATGTAGGTTGCATGAACCAGTTTCTGCTAATTTTGCAAGAGCTCAGAGACTCAGATTGTTAAAACATTCTGTTTACTGGCCTGCAAAAGGTCATCTCTTTCAATGGCTGTCATTAAGCCCATTACTGCACAATTTAATCATAGATGCTTAGAGAAAACACTCAAAGCAAAATATCACAATCAGCATGCCTAAGTGTATTACATAACAGATTATTAGAATGGAAGGTTCAATTTCCCATCAATATGACTGAGTGAATTATTTTCTTGAGTAGACTAATTACTATGAAATATCTCAACCAAAACCTTTCCTAAACTCCATTTATCAGTCATTTACTACATGCATCCTTGTCAGAAGAAATATGCACTTATCTGCTCCATTTAGAATAATGAGACTAATGAGTTTATAATTGTTATTTACCAAAATCCTTTATAAAAAGTAATGAAGTAAACGTAACTGTCACATCAAGGAACTAGAAAAAGAAACTCCCACAGAATAGCCTTTCTGTGGGAATTGCACTGCCAGCAGCAGAAATCTCGCATTTTGGACACAGATACAGCCAGTGGAAGCAGCATTTTTCAGTCTTTCTAACTGAGGGAGTAAGAAAGGTGGGGACTCCTCCCTTCCCAGGATGCTTTTGCTGAGCTGTGCAGAAACATGCAAAGGCAAATCAGCATGAGACTCAGAGCAATTCTGGCACCACCAAGTTATACCACACACCAAGTTATACCACACACCAAGTTATACCACACACTAAGTTATACCACGCACTCCTGTCACGTGTAGCAGAGCATTTGCACACCACCAACAGAGCCCTTGCTTGCCTCTGACTTTCAGCTGAGAGCACTCCATCCCTCCAAGCATTTTGCAAACACTAATGATTTTTAAATGAATAAGTAAATAGAACTGGCATAATAGAATGAAGACCAAGTCTGGGGGACTGCTTTGCCCAGGGCTGCAAGCAATAAATCAATGCACTGCAAGATAATCACATAGTCAAACTGAAGGCTCAAAAAACACCTTAAATGCATGGCAGTACCACAGAGGAAACAGTGAATCCACCAACAGACACCCTTATATTTAAGAATGCTTCTATCTTAGATCCTTAATTCAAAATATTTGTTAATAACCAACCCCAAAAAATATCCACTTCAACTGAAAGAAAAATATTTAAAAATATTGAACCCGAAGTCCTACTGGACTATTCCAAACAGTATTATTGGGTTGGGGATGCATTCCTTATCAAGATATCAGATATCACTTGTCAGAGCAGAGATAGTAGAGCATGTAACAAATAGAAATAAATCTGGATTTGGAGCTAAAGTGAGACTGGTAGAATATATCAATGAATTGTTATCATATACTGGTCCAGTTTATAGACTCTTTCCAAAGCATCCAGCATTAATTTCTATTGAAAACAGATCATTTGGTCTGAGTAATACTACTGTCTTCCTATTCTGAAATCCTTTTCCGTCATATTTTTCAGCTCTTTTCAGATGATTAAAAAGGAAAGATTTGAGATTCCACTTTAGGAATAAAAATATTTTAGAAGAGGCAAAACTACATGTAGGAACTATATTTCTTTTTCTTTGTCCTTGTGTTTTATACAGAGTTAGATAATTTCACTGTGTGTTGATAAGGTTATACTACAGAATAAGAATCTCTAAGGAATTGCTAAAAAGAGATAGTACTTAATAAAAATTCCTGTATTTGAAAAGTTGCAAG